GCTTTGTACACAACTGATGTTAACCGCGAAACGAACCGCTTGACATCACCAAGCTTTTCCAAAAATTTTAAACACGATTGGTGATCTCACAAAGGCAAAGAATTATAGAAGAAGTCCTTAGTATACCAATAATTTTGTGAAACATCGTCTGCTCCAGAGAACACTAAGATCACAAGAAACAATTGTATACCATGCAATATGCAAATAATTCAAAATTCTCAAATTCTCGGAAATTTTATCGTCTCTGTCTCTCTGACGGTCGCTCTCTCTGTGTCTCTCTTTCTCGCTCTCTCGAAAGAAAAGAAAATAACTTAACGGCCACTTTTTATCCCTTTCTCGATTCGTCAGTAGCGTTGGACGAGATTAGAGATATGAAACTCGAGTTAAGAAAGAAAACAAATATTCCTCGTATGTCTTCGAGTCTTAGATCAACAAGACAAGCTATGGACAGGAAGCTTTACATCATCAAGCTTTCCAAAACAGAGACAGAATTGGTGATCGAGTAAAAAAACATCTAAGCAAGGTAATTTGGCTTGATGGCTGAAAAGTTTTGGTACGTTTTGTACTTCGACTGTACATGCTTAACAAAATCTATGCACCACCTGCACCACGAATTTGCGTTTCAAATCTTCTGGATCGAGCAGCAATCTTCAAACTAGTGAAGTAATCAGAGAAACTTTTAAATGATCCACACAACAATGCTAACCTAAGCTGACATGGCTATGTTAACAAAACAGATATCGTTTTACCTTCAACTTGTCTCCTTCTGAGTTTTGGGTGAAGTCGACCGACCAAAACTATTTCTAAGAAATCGCGTGATATTAGTTCCCCTTTTATGGCCTTATTTGGCTCAGCCAAACAAAACTATGGCCCGATGATTGGCCCGGTGACCAACCCCACCCGTGTCAACAATCATTCACTTGACTCTGATGATGACTTCCGCACAGGTTGTCGAAACGTCAGTCACTACCACCGACAACAGTCCTTCTCAGGACTACACTCACCCGGACGATCAGACTACACCTTCACCCGTGTCACTTTATGTTATATTAACGTATGCTGTCGAGGGTAAATACAGCTGCTTATTAACACAAACTTTGATAAACACTACAGAATACTGAACAACCGTAGGCTTGATAATTACAGGAACATCCGGTTGGCTAATACTCAACCTTCAGTTAACTGTAACAAAGCATACATTTGGTTGGGTTTCTTAAGACCATTAATCTGTTGAATACAAACTTTCAACTGATGAAACACTGCAGAACGCTAAAACAACCGTAGACTTGTAATTACAGAGACATCCCGTAGATTAAAACTCAACATTCATAACTGTAACGAAACTTATATTTGCTTAAGTTTCTTATGACCTCTAAATATCAAAGTTTACTGTCGAGGATAAGTAGAGCTGCTGGCAATGAAACTTTTAACTGATAAAACACTACTGAACGCTGAACACCCAGTTTGCTTCATAGTGACAGAGACGTCTCCGTTTGGCTAATAGTCAACCTTTATAACTGTAACAAAGCATACATTTGGTTCAGTTCTGATAAATCCTTTGAAAAAAAAAAAAACTTGTAGTACAAATACTGTAAAAAAAATCTTAACGATGACTCCCTTAAAATAGCCTCGGTCTGGCAGTTCTCTGTCCCTCAGTCCTCTTTAATATTTATCTCCTGATTGGCGAACACGTCACTGTAACGCCTTACGTAACCTTTCAGAACGAGAATGTGGCTCTACCAATACCTCACACACGCGACAAAACTACGTCGGGCCTTTCTCATTCGTGCAGCCATATCTCAGTTTGCTATGGTTGTGCGCATGCGTCAAGTACTAGTCAAGCGACAATCTCTACGTAAGAGTAGCTCTGCACTGTCCATGACTGTGACGAGAAGAAAAACCTCTCCTCCAGCACCGTCAGACATGCGCAACAACAGATGTCCGAATAATTGCTGCGTGCATGATGGTTAATATTTTCAATTTTCATTATGTATTACATTCAGAAAATGCCACAACATAAGGGCAATGTTTAAATCCACAACAATAGTGGCAGAAAGGTAAATTTTACGCTACCGTTAATTGTGCCTATTGGGGAAAATTTTTTACGGTTAACTTTTAACGGCTAAAAACTGTCCACTAACGGTCCTAACGGCTAAAAATTGTCCACTTCTACGCCAGACCACCGAGATGCTCTTTTTAATGACTTCGCATCCGCCAACAGCAATCACGGAAACGGTCTCTATTTCATTAACCATTATTTATGACTTAACCATTTATATATGACTCAACCATTCATATATGACCATTTCATTAACCATTATGTTTGCCAAATCCCTTGAAGCTTGGTTTTTTCCAACTTCATTGGTTGCGCGGCCTTCTTTCAGCTGACAGCGCAATTTTTTTGCAGCTGATGAGCAACAGCCTTTGCCGAATCCTTTGAAGCTTGCTTTGTTCCAACTCCATTCGTCAACCTCCTTTCAGTTGACAGGGCAATTTTTTTAGCTGCTTGAGCAACAGCCTCCTTTGTAGCTTGTCCCAATGCATCTATCGTAAAGGTCAATGCTTCAAGAGTTCCAAGGCATCCAATCGCAGACAGCACGTTTATTACTGAGTCCTTTACCCCATTCACCATTACAGATATTCTTCACCACTACAGCGAAATCTAGTACACTTCGTAATCCAGGAATCGCAGTATCTAAAGCTTCTCTAATAGCAAGCTTTACAGTGAACTTTAATGCATATGCAATCTAAGATACTTTTGACATTTTTGCTGAAGGTTGCTGCGAAAAAACATGTAAGGCAATGAGTTAGTCGGTCATAAATACTCTGGAATATGGTGACGCTTAAGTGGACTTAAATCTTTCAGGTACAGTGTGCGCAAGGCTGCAATTCAATTAGCTTAGAGAAGGGTAAAAAATTGCTCTTCGAATGAAATAAAGCATACCCTTAGTCGTTCTCCAAGGTTTTGACCTACAGGATCGGTCACTATTTAGAAGGGGGGGGGAGGGGAGAGCTGGTGTAAACTTAGGTAAACCTTATTTACTTTTTCCTGGAGTCTGGAAGGTGAGTTTGTAAAAAAGACATATGGCTCACTTTTCACGAGTGTGATGTGTTATCTGTTTAGAACTTATTATTTTTAAACTTTTTGACGGTCTCCTGATGAAGACGCACTCTTTTTGCAAAGCCGTAATTAATTTATCTGTACTTAGGAACGCGGGGTACAGGTTGGGGTGGGGGAGGGAGGAGTGTGTTTCAACTCTTCCGGGGCGACTCCTCAGCTGGGGTTACATCACGTACTTCCTTGAAATACACAACGGGAATCGTTCGCGTTCGACGAACAAAGGCCAAAGGTTCTTGTAAATTTGTGCATCAAGAAAGGGAGCGACTAGAAACACAATGCTTTTGTTTTACTTTGTTTTGTTTTTAATCGCCGTCTCCATTTCACCTTGTTCTTCTACTCTTTCGTCGCGTGCAGATGTGAAGATTATTGAGGTTTCTCAAGTTCATGGAGCAGACAACAGCACGTGTTGGAATGAAACTACAGTTCCTTGTAAAACCTTGAATTACGCTTTGGAACATATGTCCAATTCAACGTTTGTGCGGCTACGATCAGAGAAATATTCCTTTAACCTAACGGAACATTTCAACTTTACTGGCTTAAGAGAGATTGGACTTATTGGAGACAAAGAAGCTGTATTCGTTGACTGTTTTCAAAACGGAAGTCTCTCTTTCGTAGAAAGCGAAAACATTACGTTGGAAAGAATTTCGCTTAGTGGTTGTGGAGGTTTGCATAACAGCACAACTGGAGAAGCATTTGGAAATTATCCTCGAATACCATTCCTATCGGCTGTTTATCTTTCTGATTGCAAGGATGTGATTGTAAATAACTGTAGTGTTGTTCAAAGTCCTGGGATTGGCTTGAATATGTACGATGTGGGAGGTGAAGTCCGCATCACGCATTCCCGGTTTGAAAGCAATCATCCACTCAAATCCACACCGGAGGATATAGCGATTGCTGGAGGTGGTGTTTACATCGAGTTTACCCTCAAAAACGAAACCAAAATGTCGGCATTTCCTTCCGATCTTGAGAAAACACCGCGTACATTTGATAGTGACAGCGTTTACACTTTTCACAATTGCATATTCAGAGACAACCTTGCGAAAGATCAGAGATTTTCAACTTTTATCGACACTCCACATGGGAATGATCATATACCCTTTGGAAGGGGAGGAGGATTGTCAATATTTGTGAAAGGTGTGGCACAAAATAACCTCATTCAGATAACTCACTGTTATTTTGAAGACAATCATGCTCTCTGGGGAGGGGGAATTTTCATCGAGTTTCAAGATGAAGTGCAGAACAACACACTTGAGGTAAAGAATTGCCATTTTATCAATAATAATGCCTCTTACGCAGGCGGAGCCATTAGGAGTGGTACAATAGCAAACAGTGACCATCAGCAGTTACTTCCAAACCAAGTGATGAGCGAGGGCTGTTTGTTTACAAATAACAGTGCGGTTCTTGGTGGTGGAGTCTCACATCATGGAATTGGCTCTTTGCTAAAAGTAGAGAACAGTAAAAGCCTCCACATCCATTTCTCAAAGTGTCAGTGGACCAATAACAGGGCAACAATGGGATCTGCCATTGGCCTTGCTGGTGGTGCACTTATCATTGGTAGTCAGGACTTGACTTCAAAGGGACCTAGGCTTGTTCACAGCATTATTCTTCAAGAGTGCAATATCACTAACAATCCAATTGTGTTGACAGAGGACGGAGATGTCATTGGTCAAGGAGCAATTTATTCGTACTCAATCCCTGTCATCTTTCAGGGAGTTGTAAACATTGATTCTAATAACAGTACTGCTATGGTGACCGAGAATGTTATGCTACACATTGTTGGTAATGTTACCTTCCGAAACAATACGGGTGGACAGGGGGGTGCTTTGGGATTGTACGGCACTTCAGTTATAATGCTAATGCCACACAGTAACCTTAACTTTTTTGACAATGTTGCACTGCAGCAAGGAGGAGCTATCTATGTTAGAGATTCTGGTCCACCTGTCGTGGCATTTCATACAACTTAGCTGAATACTCGGCCATGTTTTATTGCCTATAACAACACCTTCAGTCTGGAGGGAGTCACCACATGGAAAACCAAGGTCATTTTTAAGGGGAATAAGGCTTTGGCAAGTGGCGGTGGAAACTCTGTTTATGCATCAACTCTCCAAGGTTGTCGCCAAGCTGGACAACCTCGTATAAATAATGAAACTCTTGAGTGGCACAATGTCATTGAGTATCAAGATGATATGAGCCCTAAAAAACAGATCTCTACAGATCCTGTGAAAATAAAACTCGATGATAGTGAATGGAGGGTTTCTCCCAGTGAGGTTTTTAATGCTTCTGTGGAACTTATTGATGAAAAAAATAGCATGGTGTTTGGCATTGTCAACTTAGCTATCACTGATGACAATGGTGGTGGTGATGTGAAACTTGGTACAACTTCTAACCTGTTTCTCATTCAAGGCAACTCAACCAAAATTAACAACTTGCATCTTTTAGGAAAGGTGCGTAGCAAGTTCAAAGTGCAAGCTAGTACAGTTGCAGGTCGAGTTGTCCAAAATTCATCTAGGCCAATAGAATTACAAACTTGTCACCCTGGCTTAAAACAACAGGATGGTAGGCTCAATTGTATCTGTTTAGTTAAAGAGCCTGGTGTTTCAAAATGCAGTGCTGATTTCACACATGTGTTCTTAAAAAGAGGATACTGGGGGGGGAAATTAAAGGAAAATGAAAGTGACTTCATTACATATCCTTGTCCACCAGGTTATTGCAACTTTTCTAAACATGATGCAAGCTTTCAATACAACTCCAGAACTCTGTGTGTTGAAGGCCGCAAAGGCTCAAGTGTTTTATGTGGAGCATGCAAAAATCAGTATTCTGTTATGTTAGGAAATGAAACTTGTTCACATGACTGTAAAAACACCGATCTGTGGCTTCTTCCGGTTTTTTTAATAGTGACACTGTTCATGGTATTGGTGGTGCTTCGTATCCAGTTAGACATCTTCACTACATACCTCAATACTTGGTTGTATTCCTACCAAATAATTTCATTTCTTCTTCAAAAGGGACAATACCTTGACCGAGTTATTAAATTTGTTATTGGCATCGCTAATTGGAGAGTCAAAGGCGTTGGAAGTTGTTTTTTTTCAGGAATGACTAACCTTCAAAAACTTGGTGTTAATTATATCCTTCCTTCGTATGTTCTTCTGACACTTCTTATTTTGGCCAAGATTGCAAAGTGCCGCCCTACTTGTTACATAAATAGGAACATTTCTCAAGCCTTGTGCACCCTATTGGTTCTCTGTTATACAAATGTTACAATGATTTCTTGCAACATCATTCATTATGTTCCCATACAAGGAATATGGGTGCTCTATGCAGATGGTAACATCGACTTCATAAGAGATTGGAAGACACACTTGCCATTTACCATCATTGCTTGCCTGTGGTTCATCCTTTTCATCATATTTGTACCATTGGTTCTGTTATTCACTCCCTGGTTCTTGCGGCATTTTCAATTTTTGAACAATTTCAGGTTATTTTTTGACACCTTCCAACAGTGCTTCAAAGATAGATATAGGTGGTTTGCTGCTTTTTATTTCCTCTGCCGCATTTACATCTTGTTTATTGCCCTGTTTTTTCCATTCTCACCTTTGAAGAGATCTATCCTAGAGGTTTCTTGTGTCATAATTGTGGTGATCTGCCTCTACCTTCGGCCTTATAAGAGTAACAGGAATGGCAACGCAAATTACAACTGGTTGAATACTCTTGATGCTGTGCTTCTCACAAACTTGTGTTTTGTTGTCATATTCAGTTCAAGCATCATCGGTGATGCCTCGGATTCTGTTCAGCTTAGGCTACAGACAACTGTCAATGTCTTGGCATATGTCCCACTTGCCTACCTTCTCTGCCTTGTCTGCTATTATGGATGGAATTTCTTTTGTCCAAGGAACTTGGACTTTGATTACCAACGAATGGTACCAGAATCTCCCTCTTCTACTGAAAGTACTCCTCAAAGCCAAGCACAGCCCATTTAGAGTCATAATGTTCATACACTGGTCAAACTGTTTGAGAAACTAAATATCACACTCCAATTTAGTGATTTTGCTCATATCAGGGAGCTTCACTAGGGTGAAAAATTAATAGGCAATAGCTATTGTCGAACCTTACCCCACCCAATGGTGAAGACTCGGAGACTTTTTTCATTTGGGAGTTGAGCCACAGTACTCCTTATTGAATCTAATTTTTATGAGGTCATTTATTTGCAGGCAACACTTTGCCCTGGACTGATTGTTAGAAACTTTTAGAAACTAACTGTATTGGAGACCAGATCTGAGAAAGGGCTAGAAATTGTGCCAAGCTTTGCTTTGGTGTAATGTGATAGCCAAAAGGCTAGGTAACATGAAGGTTTTCCTAGTAAAACATTTTTGTCAAAAAATACAAAAAAGAAGTAATGATGACTGAAATATTAAAAAAAAAAAAAAATTAAACAAGATGTTAGGTATCAGAATTATAATTGCAACATGGAGACCAAAAATAGTTTTGCCATTTTCATGTTGTGAATATAGAATTGCAACCACCTCATTGAAGATTCTGCGGATTGAAAGCTTTTATTCAATCATTAAGATTTTAGACTGTGGATGAAATGGGCTTGGAAAAATAATACTTACCAGATGCTTTTATCTCTACTTATTGCTGACTTCATCTTAAAAGTTTTACTTTTTGCTAGACCTTGGGATTATTTTATTATGACAGAGGAAATGAATTTTCTTTTTTTCTTTTTTGTTTTTTTGGAGAGCCCATCAGAATAATAGAAAGATGTGTCATTGTCCAAAAATAAGTGTATTTTAATTTTTACATTGATTTAATTTTACCAATGAAGATAAAAGTGACAATAATTCACTAATCATTTTTTTCAGACATTTCATAGAGTCCTACAGTTACGATGAAATGATCTATTTGTACTTCTCTGGTTTTCTTTGTTTGTGTATTTCATGTTTGTAATCAGATTAGAAAGGGATTTGTGAGTTGAACATGGACAAAGTCACCCAGCACTACACAACTTCAAGGGGCAATAAGCCTGTGAGTGTGATCTTTCATTGCTGGTTAATAAATTTATCAGCATCTTAGCAAATATTTTTTCATTTAATTAGAGCAATGTGTTATTATTTTTTGTGTGTATTTATCTTTTTACTTGCTGATCAGACCTTAATGATAAAGAGAAATACCTTCAAATCAAAAATGTATTTTTATGAACAATTTTTTGTGCCTCTAAGATGATATAAAAAACTAATATAATTTTTTTTTTTTGAGAAGAGGTTAGTTGATTTTTATCAGTGAAATTCTGAATACATTTTAAGGCTTTAATGTATAGTATAACATTTTTTTTAAAGATAATGCATGAGGGATTCCGTTTTAAAACCCTTTCACTCCCAAGATCTCATTAGAAATTCTCCTTACTTGTCTGCCATGTAATTCTTATCATGTCAGTTCAGAGAATTTGGTTTTGGATCAGCAAATTGAGTAATCCCCTTATTGATATTTTCCTTTATTCTTATCATATGCCAGTTGATATTCTATTGATGTTGTAGGGAGAAATTATGTCTTGGTCACTTGTGGGAGTCTAAGGGTTTTAATTAACACAGTCCTAGGATATCTTTGTATTTGTTGAAAGCAACCATTTGTAATTGTACTGTCGAATTCTTTTGTTTCATTATCATTCCTATTTCTGACTTCTAGTTGTTACACAGATCCTTGTAAAAGAATTTGTTGCTGAAGCGAGACGGTAGTTTATTTCTGTTAAGTTTACTTATTCTCACAACCTATTTGGTGGAAAGTGTATTAACCTTTTCACTTCCAAGATCTTATTTGCAATTCTCTCAACTATCTGCCATATAGTTCTTATATAATGTTAGTGTGGAGAATTTGTATTGGATCAACTGATAATCCCCTGATTTTCCTTTTTCCTTATTCTCATTACTTGTCTGCTTAATGTTGTATTGATATTGTAAGGAGAAATTGTCTTTTGGTCGCTCATGGGAGGTAAAGGGCTAATTAATGGTGGGAAGTTACCAGATAATCATCTGCGGTACATCTTTGGTAATTTTATGATGTATTAAAGCAAGACTTTTAAGGCTTTTTTCTTTTCTTTAACTAAAATAGCATTGTAATCTTTAAATTAAAAATTAAAATAGCATTTTAATATGTCTAAAGGAATATTTATTTTCACCTCTGTTATGGCATTTTTAATCAATTTTTTTGCAAAGTCCACCCTCCATTTGTCTGTTTCATGTTCACTTTCTGAAAATTATCCACACTGATATTGTACACATCCAAGAGAGGCTTCGGAATTTGAAGTTGGTAAGGATTAATGGAAAGAAAACAAAACAACAACAAGAACAAAAATAAGACAAACAAAAACCAAACAAACCAAATCAAAATAATCAAACTATGTAGTTATTCTGAAGCTAGAGGAAGTGGGATAGTTTTTAAATAAATTTTCAAGTGATGAGCTTGAAGAAATTTGTCAACATGCAGCTTGAAGAAGGTGTAAAGTTGATGAAACTTCTTTTGTGGACTTCTAACCAACCCTCTTCTGATTTACTCGACCCAGTCTTCGGTTCCGTATTCCCCCGCCCACCATCGCGTAAACAGATTATTTGAAACAGAGACAATTTATCATTATTCTGCATTTTAAGGTTCCACACTTCCTAAAGGTTCATATTTATTGGGATGAAAATTTTTTAAATCTTCACGTTCATAAATATCTTAATATCTTTTAGTTTCCCTTCTTCCCCCCCCCCC